CTCCCCTTCTTGAGTTGGCCTGTACTGCCTCTTCCCTGTGTATCAGATTTCACCGCAGTGCTTGTGCGTCCTGGCTGCAGAGGTGTTTGGGGACCTTTTGCTGGGGTCTCTATAAGGTTTTTGCAACCTCTCAGCTGAAAGGGTCCACAGGCGTTTCAGGCAGTTTGCCAGTTTCTAGCAATAGCTTTCCCGAGCCCTTGGCTGCGAAGAGGCTGCTGCCTGTAGGTTTCTACCGAGCAATGGGAGTCTCACATCGTCTTGCTGTTTCAGGCCCCTTCTTAAGCCAGTCTCAAAGTTGCTTGGGTTAGAAAGGCACAGAAAGCCTTGCAAGGCAGATGGAAGCTTGAAGTAGTAGTAGCATCTTGCCCCAAGTGGTTATGTTTGCTTTCAGTCCTAGGGGGAGAAAATGAGGCATCAAAGTGTCTTGGATGTTGCATCTCCAACAGTACTTAGAAGTGATGTAACAAATATTATCGGCTTTTCCAGTTGAGTTGTGATTTAGAATTTCCTTCCTACTCAGGGTCTTAAACCCTTTACTGAACAGGAGTGAGTTGTCTGCGTTGTTTTGGTGGAGAGTGCAGAATGTGTTGTCATTTGGCCTGATGGAAATTTGAATGCTCTTTTCTGCAGATGAAATGTTAGCTCATTACTGTGTTGCCATGCTACACGACAGATGCACTGATAAATGATGAGTGAGAGTCCTTTTGGTTTGGGTTCTGGACAAACACGCCAAGGAGGTAGAATTTGCCTTTGTGAGTTATTGCAATAAAGCGGAAATTTGGAGGAAGGAGTATTATCAAGAATCTCTAGTTAGCAAAACTTGAGGAGACAGCAGATCTTGTCCAAACTTGCATAACAAGACTATGTCAAAGCCAAGAAAGAAATCACATCTCCTGACTGCATTCTGTGCGTTCATCATCATGAGGCCATTCCTCTGGGGTTTCATTTTTTTCCTTAAACGGGGAGAATGAAGGATCTCTTTAGTGCCTGGGGTGCCACGGTATGGTCTCCCACTACTCTTGGGCATTCTGCTTTCAGCACTGGAATGTTTCTGTGCTTGTGGCTTGCTTGAGGATTTAAACCATTTATTTTGTTTGTTTATAATAGAGTTCTGGTGGGAAGGCAGATGTTATGTGGGAAAGCTATTTTCCAGATCTGTTTATCCCTGTTATGTGGAATCTCTCAGACCACCAGTAGCAAGTAGCTATTAGGCATCAGCTTTGAGATATTGGCGTTTTTAGAAGAGGAAATGTATTAGTTCTTGTAAGCAGCTTTGCAGCAAAACCTGATTTCTTGGCATGCTTTGGCTTGGTGTTTAAAATGGACATGTGTATGTCTTTGTTTCTATATAGTCATGTGACCTTTTGAAATATTGGTATTTTGGGAAATGGCCTGTATTTGTTCATGTCTGACAATAAACAGCTGACTTTAATTCCCAAAATACATTGTCTAAGCAATACTTAGCTGTGAAGAGATGGTTCTAAATAAATCTCATTTGAATGCCTGTACTCAAAATTAAAAATCAAGTTTTTTTGCTTTCACTCATCTTTCTTTACCTTGGCATCTCAGGGTACTTCAAGGAACTTAGCAATTAAATTGTATGCTATTATGGTAGCAGAATAGCTGAAAAGGGCAAGTCTCGAGTTCCAAAGAATTCCTGTTTCAAAATATAATCTTCAAGATCTGACCTTCATCTCTCTTCTGTTGTTACTTTCCAGCACTGACACAGGCTAAATTCACAAATTCTTAAGATTTAGGAGGAAACACGTTAACATATCAATGTTTTATCAGGAAAGAGTCCTAGCTGGGGTATCTATGCACTTGCGAAGACTAGAAAGCTTCTTACTCTTGTGTATCTGTTATTCTCACCAAGAATCTGTAGGCTTGCAAATTGCCAAAGCTGCACGTGTTGAGAGAGCAAAGTAAACACTGTAGAAAGGCAATTTTTGCATTTTCTTCTTGTTCAGCCAAAAAGATTAGACGTAGATGGAAAATACTTTCCTCCTCAGGGGAAGGATGACCACAAAGCTAGAACGATTTTTTTTTTTTTTTTTATTTGAAGAAAATGTATATAAGCACACACTGCGGCATGTGTTTGAAAGAAGCAAAAATCTTAATTATTTTGGGATTTTCTCAACAGTCTGTATCTGAATGCCTTTGGGGGCGCTTCCCTCCTGGGTTGTGGTGCGAGGCAGATTGGAGTTGTCCCTCTTTTGAGTTGCAGCCTGGCTGCCAAGATGTGAGGCACCTTCAGGCTGGCTCCCGTTCACAGCACTCTGCATGGGCTCTTGGTGTGAAACCAGCCTGTTTCTAGGGTATTTGGTCTGTTCTGGGCTCAGATGCGTGGGGGAAATGTTTTGCAGAAGGTTTCTGGCCGTTTCCAAAGGAGGGGAGAAAGTATGCGTTGTTTAGAAATGGTGAGTCTTGAGCCCAATTAGTGCAGTATTGCCTTTCATCATAGCAGCAGTTGTACGATGAATTGTCAGCAGTGGCTGCTTCTGTTTCATCCTGTGGGTAGTAAACACTGCAAGGATGAACTACGAGAGTCTCTGGAAGCCTCCTGCTACTTGTTTTATCACTGCAGTGTAGTTTGTTCAACTCTGTTTTAAGTGGGACAGAAAATGCCACGTGAGTTTACAGCTTGCCTGTGCATACAGGTGCCGTGGAAAATGGGAAATCTTGCTCTCCTAGCTTTCTGCTTAGGACCAAATTTGGTTAGCATTTAGCAGAAAATAGCTTTAGACCTGAAAGTTAGATAGAGAAGGGTTGCAGCAATTAATGTTTTTAATTTGTGACTGCAGCTCTGGAGGTAACTCAGTGCTC